CCAAAATTTCTCGGGAAAAACACTTTTTCTTATTAATTTTGGTGCGTAGAATCCAAAACAATTCGTACTTTTTCGATCAGACTTCTCAATCAAAAGTTATAGACTAGAAACCAAATTCGAAAAAAATTCAAAGGGCTGTAACTTTTGAACTAGTAGCCCAATCTTGGAACTGTTTGAAATTATGGATTCTACAGGCCACATTCTATAAGAAAATGTTTTTCCCGGGTCGATCTGAGACAATTTTTTCTTCGGGGCCCAAAAGAAGGCAGTGTATAACCTTCCTTTTTTACTAAAAATCGACTGCACCAAAATTTCTCGGGAAAACATTTTTCTTATTAATTTGGGTGCATAGAATCCAAAACAATTCGTACTTTTTCGATCGGACTTCTCAATCAAAAGTTATAGACTAGAAACCAATTTCGAAACAAAATTCAAAGGGCTGTAACTTTTGAACTAGTAGCCCTATCTTGGAACTGTTTGAAATTATGGATTCTACAGGTCACATTCTATAAGAAAATTTTTTTCCGGGTAGATCTGGGACAATTTTTTTTGAGGGCCTCAAAAGAAGGAAGTGAACAACCATCCTTTTTTACCAAAAATCGACTGCACCAAAATTTCTCGGGAAAACACTTTTTCTTATTAATTTTGGTGCGTAGAATCCAAAACAATTCGTACTTTTTCGATCGGACTGCTCAATCAAAAGCAGGATCAAAAGTTATAGACTACAAACCAATTTCGAAAGAAAATTCAAAGGGCTGTAACTTTTGAACTAGTAGCCCAATATTAGAACTGTTTGAAATTATGGATTCTACAGGCCACTTTCTATAAGAAAAATCTTTTTTCCGGATCGATCTGAGACAATTTTTTTTTCGGGGCTCAAAAAGGCAGTGTATAACCTTCCTTTTTTACCAAAAATCGACTACACCAAAATTTCTCGGGAAAACACTTTTTCTTATTAATTTGGGTGCGTAGAATCCAAAACAATTCGTACTTTTTCAATCGGACTCCTCAATCAAAAGCAGGATCAAAAGTTATAGACTACAAACCAATTTCGAAAGAAAATTCAAAGGGCTGTAACTTTTGAACTAGTAGCCCAATCTTGGAACTGTTTGAAATTATGGATTCTACAGGCCACATTCTATAAGAAAATTTTTTTCCGGTCGATCGGAGACAATTTTTTTTTCGGGGCTTCAAAAAAAGCTTTTTTTACCAAAATCGACTACACCAAAATTTCTCGGGAAAACACTTTTTCTTATTAATTTTGGTGCGTAGAATCCAAAACAATTCGTACTTTTTCGATCGGACTGCTCAATCAAAAGCAGGATCAAAAGTTATAGACTAGAAACCAATTTCGAAAGAAAATTGAAAGGGCTGTAACTTTTGAACTATTAGCCCAATCTTGGAACTGTTTGAAGTTATGGATTCTACAGGCCACATTCTATAAGAAAAAAATTTTTCCGGGTTGATCTGAGACAATTTGTTTTTCTGGGCTCAAATCCACAGGGTCTACAGACATAATTGTCTAGATCACAACACTTAATTACTCCTAAAGCTTTTAAAATATGCAGATCCTAGTGATTTTACAGGGCGTTCTGCATCTACAGAACCTACAGAATATGTATGATTTACATGAACCAAGGTATTTACAGAACTTGAATGGCGAAACAGATCTTATAGAATCGTCAGAAACTATCGAATCAACAGTATCAAAAGCACGTGCAGTATCTACATTCTACGGAATACAAGTACCTACTGCACAATTCGCAGAATTTACAGGACCTATAGAATGTAAAAACCAGCAGAGTGTACAAAGGTGCACAGGATCTACAGGAGCAACGGAATGCAGGAATCTATAAAATCTCTAGGATCTATCCGATCAAGCACCATTTCGTTTGTAAAAGTTATCAGCGACTAACACGCTTACAAGGAGTGGGTAAGGACCTTTAAAGTGATTATGATTCCATTTGTACTTGAAATTAAGTTGGGGGTGCCGAGGGATGAAGGGGTGGGACAACTACTATGAAAACCTAAGAATGAAACAGATTAGGCTATCAAACAAAATGTCATCAATCTCGAAAGGCACCAACTTAATCTATACCATACTTTAGATAACCTCACAGAAGAAAAATGATGTTTTGACGTCTTATATAGTTTATCATCAGCAACCAGGAACCCACTGAACTTGATTCAGAGCGCTTTACCATAACGAGCAATTCGATTCTTGGTTTTAAATTTTCCACTTAAAATGGTCAAAATACCTTTAGTCATTACTATTTGCCAATTTACAATTATTCGGTTATGTACAGTCATTGACAAAAGTAATGATCGCCGAATAGGTGAATCCTGCAGCATGTGCCGCATATTGTGCAGCTTGGAAATGCGAACCAATAAATTAAGTTATCTCCTCGTTGAAGAGACCGACTCAGCCCAATGTGATAGGCACTGCTGTAGAGTTTACCTACTAGGTAACGTTCTTTACTTTTGTCAATGACCGTACATACACTATTTTTGTTACAAGTTATGGGAATTTTTTGCGTATCTACTGATAGTTGCTGTGTAAATAAAGCAAAAAAAAACCCAGTAAGTAAATAAACAGTAACTCAGACAACGGAAGAAAACAATCACAAGGTGCTTGATAAAACACAAGTGGGTTGGAAAATTTTAGATCAACAGTAATTCATAGGTCGGAGCACTCGCTGCTTATTAATTAATTGGGAATTACCGGCAGCTGCGTTGATGACAGTGTCACGGGGAAATTCCTACTATATAATCTGTTAGTACTTAGGTACTTGCAAATCCATTTAATCGTGTTTATTCCACGAACAGTCAAATAACGACCAATATGCAGCTCTGGTTTTGTGTTTGTTTGATTTATTCTATAAGCGGATATGCTAGTGCAGAAAATCCGAGAGTTACCACATCCCTTGGTGATGTTGAGGGTGGTATAATTAAAAGCCTTTTAGGAAAGTCGATATACTCCTTCCGGGGTATAAGATATGCGCAGGCGCCAACGGGAGATCTAAGGTTTCAGGTAAATAAATTTAATATTTTTTGCGATTTGACACCCGGTACCCTACAAACAACTCGCTCAAATTTAAAAAATAAACCATAGACGTATAGGAAATTAAGAGCCCTTTCCGATGATGTATCACTCGATCCAACGTTCAATTTAAAATTATTGAAGGGGTGGCAACTCTGCTTAGGGGATTGACAGCAGGGGTGTAAATTTTGGAGTAAAAGATGCCCCCCTTGATGTTGTGCATTCTTCTTTTTTCTGAGATAGACAAAGAGAACAATAATGGAAATTTGCTGGAGCCCAGAAATACCTTAAGCCTCAAAAGGAAAAAAGTTTTCTTCTTCTTCCTGAGCTTTAACCCAGTTAGTCCATTTATAACCCGGGGCCACTTCTCCAGCCATCTTTCATCTCATTCGCGCTTTCTCCTTTAGAGCACCTTTCCCACCTTGGTCGCTTTTATGAGAAACACCATTAACGTCTTTCCTTCTCTTACTCCAAGGTTTCAAACGGTTCCATAGTTGCAGACGAAAAGTACAGAAAAAAAGCCTACTTTTGGAAAATAAACTAAACACGATATTTCTTATTCCAGCCTCCAGTTCCGGTGGAAAAATGGACTGGCGTCTACAACGCGACCGTCGATGGCCCAATGTGTCCACAACCAATTCTAAGGCCGATTTCCGAAGACTGCCTATCCTTAAGCGTCTACACCACTGAAGTAAGTATCACTTCGTGGTTTTCCTAAAACCCAACTTATGCCCTACAGTTACCTACAAAACGTCACAACCCCAAACGACCGGTACTGTTCTTCATCCATCCGGGTGGTTTTTACAGTATGACCTCCGCGAGTAACTGGGCCGGACCGCAATACTTTATAGATCAAGACGTGGTCATGGTCGTTATCAATTATAGATTAGGGTCTTTAGGTGAGTATGAAAATTGGGTCGCATTGGAGTTAGGGGGTGTTTTAGGCTATATGAGTACTGGAGATAAATGGGCGCCTGGAAATAATGGCATGAAAGACCAGGTGATCGCGTTGAAGTGGGTGAAGAAAAACATCGCGGCGTTCGGTGGTGATCCCAATTTGGTGACGATCGTCGGGTACAGCGCGGGCGGCATCAGCGTCACCGCCCACTTACTGTCATCAATGTCTAGAGGTTGATACCACAAGAGTGAAGCAAGTAATCTTCGTTTAGGTCTGTTTCACAGAGCCATAGCAATGAGCGACACAGTCTTTGGACAGTGGCCAATTGGGAATCACCAGCTCAATCTCGCGCAGAAGCAGGCTCGATTACTCGGCTGCCCTGATGACACATCCGAGAAGATTGTCACATGCTTGAAGACCAAAAGTGCGGAGGAACTAGGAGAATCTCTGCGAGGATTTGCGGTACGTCACACCCAGAGGTGGCACACCAAAGTAATCGATAAAATTGTAGGAGTATGGCTTTGATCCAGTTTTACTGTGGACACCGGTTGTTGAGCCGGATTTCGGACAAGAACGATTTCTTACTGAGCACCCACTGAGAAGCGTTCTTAGAGGGGACTTTGCCAAAGTGCCTATAATTGCAGGTATAACGGATCAAGAATTTTCGTATATTGCGGCAGGTAAGCAGAATCACTTTGGATGATACCTTGGGCAAACAAGAAATATTTAGAGGTGTTTGCCAACCCGAAACTATTAGAAGAGATGGACAAAGACTTCGACAGGGTCGCCCCTATCGCATTCGTCTATGAAAGAAATACAACCAGATCTCTATCCATTAGCTCTGAACTGAGGAGGGCTTTCTTGGGGAATGGTCCTCTAACCGACTCTGACCGAACAGGCCTAGGACATGTAAGTAATACGCCAATAAGAGCGCTGTTCTCTACTTTAACTTGAAACAGTTATACGCCGATGGATTAGTGGGATTTGGAGTGCATAGAGGAGTGAAGCTACTCTCCGCAAAAAACACCGAGTGCACTTACTATTACAAGTTCAGCTATCAAGGAAGATACAGTCACGTTAAGTTGCCTAATTCCACCGTACCTTACGGTAATAATTATCTACTTTCTTGAACTTTTACTTATGAGTGATTGTAGGAGTTGTTCACCATGACGATCTAATCTACTTATTCTACATATCGCAGTTATTTCCCAAATTTAATGTAACCGACCCCGAGTACACAATGGTCAGGAAACTAACGACGATGTGGACCAATTTTGCGATCACTGGGTAAGTGGTGACGAAATATCGACACCTTCGCTTAGCAGATCATTTCAGCAATCCTACTCCTCATCATCATAGCGAACCGCTGGGTAATGCTCATTCGATTCCGTATACTCCAGGGAAGAGGAAGTACATGGATATTGGAAATGAATTGAGCATGAAGCAGAATTTGTATGAGGAACGTTACTCTGTGTGGGACAAATTGTTCCCATTGAATGCTTATCAGTAGCTAGTTGATCTGACTAGCCGAAGTCGCTTGTAGGGTATATACAGCGTGTATCATTAATAATTATACAATTGTTTGCATTATTCTCTTACTTTTAATGTTAAGGACTCCACATACATAAAAAACAAGTATAAATGCTTTTGTTTGGATATTTCTTCCTGACGTTCCAATCGCCCTTTGTGAGTACCCTCTTCAGACAATCCGTTCTGGAGATATAAGGGAATATATCCGATCACGATAAGGGGCCGAGGAGGAAGACACTATGGTTGGTAGATATTGATTCCTTTCATTACAGTATCATTTTCAATTAAAAGGATTTCTTAGTCTTATACTCTAAACGGAGTGCCATATTTACTGGGTTCGAATAAGCTACTTGAAACTCTCTATTATTCTTGAAGCTCCAATCGGGACCCTAAAATTATTGATATCAAAATTTCTCTCAAATCCATTTTAAAATTGAGCACTAGTTGGCCTACTAGTTAGGAGGTAAATTCTGAAAGGGTTACATTTTTTTAGGGGTTAACGCATTCTTACTTTAGGACATTTCCTAAGAACTCTAGAATCCAATAATGATTTAAAGATTTAACCCCAAGACATTTTTAGATTTTGCAATTTTTAATCCAAATGGCATCTGGGTCGTGTAACGGTAGGTCTAAAATCTGCAGTTTTTTTCGAAATTTCGTTGAAAAGTTCGAGGGCCGCCTTTCCAGATAATTGTTTAGTACTTAGTGGCATTGTAAGAATAAATAAACAAGTATTCGGTGGAATGGAAGATTGTCCTTGCTTCGCCGTCTAATTTCTGTGGAGCATTGTTTTATTGATGGATTCGGGATGTCCGGAGACTAGACATCGGGGATTTGTATCATGTTTAGTTATCTCGATTAGATTACAACTTCGAATTAAGCATGAGATCATTCCTTGGATCGCCAGAAGACGGGTCAGTGCCAAGGGACGGCCTCTTTTTGCTGTGCTTTCGTGGGGATGGTAATTCCAATTGGCGCGTTAAAAAAACATAGTTGAGCTTTTACCATCAGTCGCGTTGAAAGGAGCGGTAATTCAATAAGAAGGAATTAGTAGAAAAATATTCTTGAGACAGACGGTTCTGAACCACCGGCAATTCAGATTATTTGGTTTTTTCGCGCTGCGTTGCGAGCAACGAAAATGATCTCATAATTAATTAGAGGAAGGTTCTAGAAAAGTTTTCGATCGGGAAATACCAAGGAATAACCACGTAGTTTTGTCCCAAAGAGACCCAGTGGTGGTTACTGGTATTTTGGTTTCGTTGAAACGTAAAGTTTGACAACGCGAGTTCTGTTAGTTACAATAAAAAGAGAAAAAAAATTCTAAAGTGAATTCGTCAGTTTAATCCAAGCAGAAAAAATATGGATTATCGCAAATTTAAGAGGAACTAAGAGTTAACGCCGAATAAAACGCTGTCCTTAGGGAGATTAAATCAACCGTACGCGGTCAAGGACAAACTAGTTAAGCGCGCCAGTATATTTTTGTTACACTGAAAAGAGTTAGGGTTCAGTTCCGGTGAATCCGTAAATTTATCCCCCAAATTTGGCTTAAAAAACTTGCGCTTGTTAAGAAATTAAATATCAAAGAACCTTCCAAACTTGCAAAAAACTGTTGGAGGCACCTCGTTGCCATAATAAAAAATATTGTGTTGACCAGCTTGTATCAAGATCGCTCTCAGTGAATGGCTCAATTTTTTTTGTGGTGCATTCGGAAATCATAAGCCTCACAAACCTGTTGGACTTTTAAATTTGTTTCACCCAAAATAATGTCGCACATCTCAAGACTCATAATTGGGTTTTCATCAACAGTATCAATTTCTTCAGCAAACTGCCTAAAATCTGTGAATGAAATCATAAAATTTAGAAAGTTGCTCCATTATTATTTTGTAAACAAAAACTTGATTTGCCCAACAAAAATTGTTTTCTGATGCTATTTTGGTTTTATATCACTTTTTTTGAACATGTAGCATTGAATAATAAAATTTATTATTCAATGCATGTAGCTTTATCAGAAATTGAAAGTATAGTCTCCAATAATAAATGAAATATATACTCTTGCACACGCAGAATCAATCACACTGTATACTTATACCAACCCTGTTGTTCGCCATTTAGGTTGACTTGATGCAGCAGTTTTGCCACTACTCATAATAATTTTTACAAAAAACTACATAAGCTAAAATTAACACTTCACTCATCACAATAGGTAAAACACGAGTGCAAGCAATACACCGGAAAGCGGCCGCAGGCGACCTCTTCGGTCGGTTCAATGCGACTTGAGGAGAGGAGTTTATTCAAGAGTTGACAGTACAATCACTATAATAGTGCCATTATTACTAAACTTCCATAATTCCTTTAATTACCGGAAAGTATTGTAGTGGTACCAGTGAATATCATTCATTTCACGCATACAAATACTTATTTGCCAAGGATTATGAAAGAAAATACTAAAAGGTACAATTGTACCGATGGCGAGTGTTAACCTTTTTAAATTATGCCGTAAGGTACTTGGTTCGTTCAAATTTCAATCAAGAGAATATGAAATTTAGTGCCTCCATTATTATGATGTGCTGTATATGATTATTAGGGTCTATAACAAAAGAATGTAAAATGGAATTCACTCACTTCCTGTTTCACCGGAAATGGTCCAGGTTTTGAATTTTTAAATAGAACACTCTGTATATTTGTGGACATTAACTTGACTTCTTTGAGCCACTTTTAATATTGCATCTAGGTGGCCATGATTGGACACTAATCTTAGGTGATCTCAGAAAATTACAATCGCAAAGATTTAGTGGCTAATACGAGAGACAGAAATAAAACAGTTTGGCAAAATGACATTTTCGTGTCTAACTAGTATTTTCATATTGACAAGCATGACCGAAAAAAGGATTTTTTAACGCAACTAACGATGTTAATTTAGACTCAGATATCCAAAAATTAAAAAATATGCAGGATGTTCCATCTACAAATTCAAAACCTGGATCATTTCCGGTGAAACGGAAAGTGGATAGAAAGAGAAAAATATACGAAAGCTCTCCTCTTCACGTACCATTGATCTGTACCGAATTTCATTTTGATACATGTAACTATGGTTTGTCAAATAGATTCGTTGACACCCAGTATATCTAAACTTGTGTTTAATTTTATGCAAGCAAGCAATTTTCAGAAAATCAAAGCTTAAAGTCAGAGAAATTAGGAAAGGATAAGTTTTCCAGTAGCTAAGCATTAAGCAAGTCACAGTAAAAAGTCGAAAGTCATTTTAAATTCTTGAACAGAAAGTGATCTAATTTTAAAATAACCAAAATATTTGATTCAAATCGATAAGTGAATCTTTGAAACGTAATTAAATGCACGAACAGAAATAAAATGTGACAAGCGGCACTGGTTTTTCCAGACGTCCACCTTCTTATTGCAGATAAGGTGATAGCGGCGAAATTGGCCTTTACGCCGTACGCATTATCGCTTAATGCGTAACTAATACGAATACAAATCCTAAATACCATATTAAATTTATTCGGCCATTCGTACGTTAACCTTTGAGTTTAGTGCATCGTTCGTCCCTCAATAGCGAATTGTACCTGAAGGGTGAGTTTTTAATTGTTAATACTTAAAGGGATACAGTGATTTAACACAATAACAAGAATCATACCTATCTACTGACGGCAAGTTACATCAAATTAATTCGCAAAATTTAATTGCAAGCTTTTCGTAGCAGATTTGATTCATTTTATGTAACATGGTAAACAATCTGCGGGATTGTACAGAACTTGGACTTTTTACGGTGTGATGCAAAGACCTCATAAAGGTAACCAATGATTATACATTTAGGCTAAAAGTCACTCAATACTTCCTTCTTTTTTGAATAACATTTCCAACTTCAGGTAAAACGCCCTATTATGTTGCAATTAGTCATCACCAGGAAACGTAACTGGAGACTTTAAGCCTTTTACTCATGACATATAACAGTTCAAGGGTGTGCATAGACATCAAATTCAACCCTTAACCATTTTGATTCCACGTACATTTTCCTGAAAATCCTGAGATGGTACGTTTTCAATATTCTTGGTTTGGTTCACGCCCTGGCAAATTTTTCAAAATGCATCGATTCGCATGAAAATTTGGGATTAGGTTAAACTTACCTTCCACTTCAAAATCTATATTATGCCGATGGGCGCTCTTCATTTTTTAGGGGTGAAAACTACCCCTTTTTGCCAAAGCCATAAAACTGCATATTAAAGCCTACGGTGAGTAAAATTTGGCTCAGATGAGTTGAGTAAATCATTGTTAGAGGCTTTGGAACATTCTTTCGGAATATTTCCACCCTTAAAAATTAACCCTTACTGCGGTTTAATAAAAAAAAAGTGTTTACCCTCAAAGAGTGAATAATTTATTATTGACGACAGTTGTTCAGTGTGCATTTCGGACAAAGTATGGTGTTCGACCTCCAGATAGATGGGGTATCAAACTTCATTTCCTGGACTACAATGCGTCTAGTAACATCCTTAAAATAAACCTAAACAATTAACTAATCAACCCTAGTCCTTTTAAAATTCCGTATCTTTCAAAAAATTAACCTATTACAAACATTACATCCATCTTGCTCTTTTAATACGTATGCTCAAAGTTTTTACCAGAAGCCTGTACGTACATGGACACCCAACCCCTACTCGTTTTGCAATTATGTGTTTTCCTTTAATGAAAATCTATTCCCACACAGCACATCAAGTTTTATTACAACTGTCGATTTACAGGCCGCAACACTTTATACATTTTGAAATAGACTTTTTTGACAGCTTTGCGTTGAATCGACTACACCATTTATCAACAAAAATGCAGTGTAGTTTGCAAAACTCGTGACATGAAAATTGTGTACCAACGAATACCCAGTTCAAAGAATACCCAAGATTTCCTAAAGACTACCCGAGAATCAAGGTTGGTAATATATCAACCTTGCCCGAGAATACCCAAAAACTTCCAAACAATTCCCAGATTTTTCAAGAATTGCTAGACATACTACCTAAAATTGGTGTAAAGCATACAAAAGGCACCGTGAAATTAATAATTGATGACTTTCGACCGAGATGGTGACGGTGATGGTTTTTACTCTGGTGTGGTACTACGCTCCAGAACCGCCTATCATAGCCCCGGGTTTTTAATTTTAGATAGTAAGTTAACCCTACGGACGAGAAGGCGGCAATCGAACTTGATTTCCCCATTTTGTAGTCTGGTGCTCTAATCACCAGGCCACTCCGTCAGTACAATTAAAAAAAATTGTTTAGTCACAATATGGAAAAACGTTTTTGTTACTTCCACATACTTCCGCATGTGCGATTCTTCCCAAAAGCTTTTCAGCTCTTCCTTTTATATTGAAGAATATGTGTACAAAATTTGGTTGGAATAGAAAAGTGAGAGAAAAATCTTTATTTCCATGTAACACAAAAAGAGCAAAAAAATAAGTATCGAAACAGAAACAGAAAATTTTGACGTGTCACATGGCAAGTTTAGCGGTTTAGCCCGAAATGAGAGTACAGATAGACAGACCGACCGTTCGACGTCATCGAGACTTGACGAGACCAAGTCTCGTCTCGACGTCATCACTAGTTTGCAAATCATATTCCGACAGATAGCGTTACAAAATATCGTTAATGAGATTTCCTTGAGAATTCCTATAATGTAATCGAAAATCCTAGAACGCCCAAGATTTCTTGGAGACTATCTAAGAATTCCTAAAGAATTCCTCAGAATACCCAATGAATTCCTCCGAATTCCTGATTCACGTACAAAAGATTTCCCAATGTAACGACCCCTCGGAACAACCATTATAAATGTTCGCTTGCCTACCACTTCTTCATTAAGAATGATAAGTAATAAATACCATATTTCGCACTAGGTGCGTTGATTAGTGTCGCGTTTGTGCTGGTGTATGCTGTACAAAGTTTGGTAACAAAACACAGTTTGGAAATTATCCAGTTTCTAATGTTTACTAAGTTCGCACACTTTATCGGCTCATATCTATGTTACTCGTTATTTTGGCTGGTTTGTAACAATTTTGCAGCAAAATAAACTGTCTGTTGAACCACACTTTGTCAGTTTCTTCCTCAACCTTTTCATCACAAAGGCTATATTTTACTGGATTTTTATGAAATTATGAGTACTACTTTGTTTTAATTATGGTGTTTTCCTAAATATACAGCAAATTCCATTGATACCTACAACACAATTTTTCATTTCAAAATTTAAGCTGTATCTACCTTAATCATTAAAAATTGTTTTTTTCTGAAAAGTATCGATTAAAGATATGTTCATGTTCACGAAATATTGCAAATAATTTTGTTTAACTGAAGTGGGGGTGGGGGGTTACTTACCGCGTTGATTTCATTAGACATAAATCTTAAACACAAGCACTGTGCAATTCGATGAAACACCCGTAATGGTCGTCGATAGATCGTTTACAATTTTGTCTTGCTGTCATATGTCCGTCTGTCCGTGTGAATGATAACTGTTTAAAAACGTCTGATCGCTTTGAAGATTGATACACATGTTCTTAAGGATGCAAGAAAGGTCGTTATTGTTTTTCAGATGCGTAAATTATCGGGTGAAAAAGTTACAGGCCAAAAGCGGATCTCGAGGATCGTTCGTTATTGGATTATTAGCAATATTTCATGAACATGAACATATATTCAATCAATACCTTTCCGAAAAAAACAGCTTAAATTTTGAAATGAAAAAGTGTCTTGTAGGTATCAATGAAAATTGCTGTATATTTAGGAAACCCCATAATTAAAACAAAGTAGTACTCATAATTTCATAAAAAATCCAGATATTTTTATTCTATAAAAGTTTTAAATTAAACATTTTCTCCTAAAGTTAAAGTTAATAGTTGGCAATTTGCTAAACTCCACTTTCCACCCTTTTCAAACCCCGGGATTTCACCCGCGGAAAAATTCAGCTATTTTAATTATTTTTTCACAATTTCTAATCATTTCACCTGCATGAAAAACCCGTTTTTTGCCGGTAACTAATTGTTTTTGAAAATAAATTATTTTAGCGAGCCATTTAGCTTGGACTAAAGGCACATTTAAATAATTTGTGTATATATCACAAGGCGGATATTGCCCATAAAAATTTAGATAATCGGCAACTTAGAACTGATACGTAATCACAAGATAAGGGTCGTAATTATTTGTATTTGTACGAACCGAATTAACATCCTAAATCAGAAAAATGTAAAAGTGAATGGAATTTAATCAATTTTAATTCAACAGATTCAATTACTTATTTTGGAATTCGCATTTATTCGAATGCGGTCAAACTAAAGCGTCAAGTTTTAATTTTCAAATTTAAAAAATGGAGATAAAAGGCCCCTGTATAAGCGTTCCTAGGTACGCATCCTCTAGTCGTTTGCAAATTATGTACTTTTCGTTAAACATCTTGCTGATCCACCTTAAGGAGTGTCATTTTAGTTAGTGTCTTTTCCCTGAAATTTTAATGGTAGGTTTTCCTAACAAAAGTGAATAGGAGTGGAGTCTGCTTTGAGGCAAATGCATCGATCTTCCTATGCGTTCATTTACTAATATGCAAAAGTTAGTTTATTGGTTTCAAGGAAAGCCGAATGATTGAGTTGCTTGGTACGATTGCCTTCTAATCATACCGGTTGTTTGCAGCGCGCCCGTAGACTCGATCAGTACGCGAACTTCATCTACTGGTGAGGATTAGATCGAAGCTCACCCTCGATCACTCCCAAATGATCCAAAGTGAGCAGCCTCTCGCATTAGATCGTCTAAACTTTAGTTAGTAAATGCGTTTTCATTTCAGCTCGCGAAGATGCACAAAAGACCTAGGGCATTGTGGTTGTCCTTCCTGTCGTTGGCGGAACTCCCTAGGCGAGTACGAACTAATAAGGCTAAATGGTAAATTTTCATTTTTTTTAGCGGATATCTACCTAGCTGTAAACTTATTAATCACCGTAAAGTATAACATAAATAAAATTTGCTGTGGCTAGCACGGATACCACCCGCACACCTAAAAACTATTCAGTTATTCCTTTTATGTCTAAGAATATGTGTACCAAATTTGGTTCCAATCGGTTCAGCCGTTTATTCGGAAATGAAAGTACAGGAAGACAGACCGACATAATCGAGATTTTGTTTGACGAATTCCTGGTGCTTCAAAACTTGTCTTTCTTTAAAATTAAAAATGGGGGTCATTTTTGACCCCAATGCAATACCTCCCTTACTAACGTGCGGGTGGTAAAAACCGACACCTACCCAACTTTAAAATTTATAACATATAACTTTTTTGTTTCAGATTCCAGAAGGGTAGCCTTTTCAAGGTATGATCTTTATTTTTTTTTCTATTTTCTACAAACGGAACTTATATACTGAATAATATACGGGGTGTTCTGTTTAAAAAAAATGCATCTTTCGTATGCTACGCCTTAATGAGCAACCCTGTATAATTAAAATTGTTACTATCTAATAGACTTTTTGAACATTATCCATCGGTCCTCTAAATGGGGTTGAGTGATATCAAAGATTAAAAAAATCGGATCTCAATCGGAGATCCGATTTTTTTAATTTTTGATATCTAATAGACATTGAAGAACCCCAAAACTTTTGTATAAAATATATTTCAATATCGAGTACCTATATTTTCGCCGATAATCGACCGTTTCCAGACTGATCAGCAACCCTGTATATATATAATAATAATAATAAAACAAAAATCCAATAAAAAATAGTGTACAATTCCCTCTATCCGTGACTAGTGATTTTGTATGGAAAGCTTGTGGCTAATTATAGCAGTCTATGTACTGTATGGTCTAAGGTAGAGCCCCTTGTAATATTTTTAATAACAAATGAACTGCTTTTTGCGCATTTTTTGGTTGTTAAGTTTCACAAAGCCGCCCCGAAAGGGATATTCTCTCATACGCTCATAAAACATCTTAAAATTTAAACCGTTAGAGAATATTAAAATCTTTACTGTCACTTAGAGTACTCTTGGAGTCTTCCCAATGCTTTTGGTCACATTTCAAATTATTGAAGACTTTTCCACTATAGTCGTATAACCTATTAGGACTCTAAAAGCCCAATTGCTATGGTGTTAAAAATATCTTGACACACGTGTTGAATGAGTCAATGCCTTTGAAAACCTAATATTCCTGAAAATCCTGGAAGACTCACGAAAGCACTTAAGGATTCGCTCTTAGAGAGAAGAGTGGAAGACTATCGGGAGCTCTTTGAAAGTCTCTAAAAGATCTTCAAACCGTCTTGTAACAAAAACGTTATTTTGTCACCAACTTCAGTGAAGAAAGGTGGTTTTCTTCTCGTTTCGTTGTTAGTCCCAATACATGCTTTGTAAAATTAAACAAAAACTTTATTATTTACAAAACTCGTCAAATCCCTCACACTTCCCAAACACCTTATAGTATTCCAACTTGAGTTTGGCGCGCTTTAGCGCTAACCCTTGTTCGCACACATCCGACAATTTTTTTATTGCATTTGCCATGTCCCTAATGGCCGTTGCCTTAGTTTCGACAAACGGCAAGTGAGTTTTTTGACTCGTATCGGTAGGCTCCGAGCAAATCGTCTGGACCGTCTGTAAAATCTCTAACGGAATCATTTCCGGCTCTGCGGGGATTTCCAGTCGACTGTGTTCACTCGCAGTTTCTACAATAGGCACATCTTCGACGTGCTTCAACTCGATGACCTCGCCAGAAAAAGGATCTTTAAAAAAATCACATTTAAGTATCTGACATGGAGAATTCAGCAGCGGTCTACCATCGCTAATGGAAGCACAAGTATAGTCTTCATCAGTGGGCAAAGATTCGACTTTAATTCCGTCTAAAATTGAAATTCAACATGCACAAAGTGTTTGGATTTCGCACTACTTACCTATCGCAAGTTCTTCCATATGCTCTATGTCTTCAACTCCATTCGCTTTCTGCTGAATTCCCGCAAGATTCGCTAAAGCATCTCCCGAGCACTTACTGCGATTGGGGCGTGCGTCTAAGTTAGAAATCAGAATCAGTAACTTTTCTTCTAAGTCCGTCAGTTGTTTATTACATGAGAATTCGGAACCGTTCAACTTTAGCTGAATCGCTTTACTTTTCCTCTTCGTGTTCACTTTCCACTCGTTAAAAATCTAAACAGTTAAATTAAACGTTAATCTTATTACGTGTACGTACCTTTCTCCATTGGAAGGCATTCTTCGGCGGGCCATTTCCCTTAGGATTTTCCAGTGCGGCAAACTGTTGCCACAGTCCATCCACTTTATGAGCGAAATTTTGCTTCATCTTGCCCCTTAATAAAATTCGGTTTCTTTCTACGAATTTAATTAGGTCCTCGTATTGAGACCGCGTGGTCTTCTTCAACCTTTTAGCCATTTCGTACGTAATAATCGTTTGTCAAATCGCGTTTACCTGTCAAGATGCAGTACCGAACTCTTTTTAACCGATGTCGCTCCGCATAATGCTATCCTTGTTCTAGGCGGCCATTATTTCGCCCATTATAACGTTATTGTGATAACATATACGGAATAACATGTACGTTAAAAATGAAAGACACTTTTGGACACTGAGCTACCGTTATCTTGTACGTATCGGTGATAACATAATTACAAATCACGTTAAGTCAACAGTTACGTTGTTATTACATGTCTTGTTTACGACGTGATGTTACACAAACATGTAGTTTGAAGCAAACGTTAGTACTTGTAGTTAGCGTACAGATGGAGCACTATGTAGCTAAGAGATCCGTTATAGATATCGATCTCGTACAGTTTGCGTTATAGTCATATAACATTAGATGGCGCATGCATTCAATAAAATATATAAGAATTTGAATATATTATTACTCTCACCGCACTCATTGAATAAACTTAATTTTTTATTCAATGCTGCACTGTAGGACCTAGAGGTATGTACTTTTGAATGTAAAATTATGACGCGTTCTGTATCGCTGGTCTGAGACGAAATTAGTCCAGCTTTCGCTGTATAAATGGACTCAAGACGAAACAAAATCTTGAGGTGTCAGTCGTTAACTTATTACCGATAGATTCAACTGGCTCTTCAAAAGGGTTGTTTGAATCGTTCGGAAGATTCCTTCAAGACTCCTGCAAGCGTTCCCCAACCTTTTCTCATGACGCCTTCATCATTCTAGTAAATTTCCTTTTTCTCCCCCTCTATTCCTTTATATCGCTCCACACATTGATCTCTCCTTGGCGATTTTCATGTTTCCTTCACGTCTTCTTCACATAAACACCTGTCCAGCTAGCTCAAGCATGTACTAACAAAATAGAAAATTCTGACTATGAAATTTCTCAAGGCACGTTCGGTATCTGCTATTTTGAAAAATCTCAATATGGATTTAACATTTGAGAAACTCACTCCCATAATTCCAAAGGATTACTTCACAAATTTGTAATTAACACCTTACATATGTAACTCTGGGTACGCATAGAAAAGTTATCAAGAGAGTTCTTATCTAGGTCGGAATTTGGCCACGATTAATAGCAAATCTAATCATTTACAGATGAAACAAATGTATTCGACATAAATTAATCAATAAAGCTGAAATCAAAATGGGCACTCAGGGCCAGACGACTAACACCACGCACATGCGTTCCATGGAAACAAGTTAAAATTAACAGAACATTCTAATTACCTTAGAGTTAATAATATACTTAATATCCGGTCAACTGCGATACTTTTTAAACAGAATAGACGAAGTGATATTGCTCTGACACTTTACTTCTTTACTTTTGCCTTATTCTTGATTTAAAGGACACTAATTTTGATGTAATTATAGACGTAATAGTGGTTTTTTTGGTGGCAGAAAACTTGAAGACTTCATAGAAAGGCTTCATATAGGCGATAACTGCTCGACAGACATACACTTGGACTACACGTCTGCTCACTCGCACTATGACATTCACTTTTAAAACGACTCTTTTAAACACGCATCTTTCTTCCACAACAAATTATGAACAACAAGATTCGCTTATTTAAAGACGTTTTTCCTTTTCCTCACATCCTCTACTCCTTCCGTGAATCAAAATTAAAGCGCGGCTTTGAATAACTGAACACCTGTGTTTTCTTCGAAGAAAAAACATCTGCTTATCTTGAAATTAGTTAGCGGTACGCAGCGATAACTAACTCTTATCGCACTAACCGGAGATAAAGCAATTGTTTCTAAATGTCCCTAAATTTTTAACACGTAAATTAAATTTACAATTACAAATCAAAACAAGGTAATTATTTAAACAAAACCAAACATCAAATAAATCTGAAACAAAATAACATAGACCTCGTATTTAAGTTTCCTGTTAAACATGTTATCGGATTTGGTCGTCAGTTACCAAGGATATTTTAATTTTTATGCGCAAAAGGGGGCAAGGGAATTAGTTTATCATTCATTGACCGATGAAGTCTTGTGCACAAGTTTACTATAAAATCTAACCTAAAGGGCGTATAAAGTCATATAAAAATAGAAAAAAATCAGTAGGCTCTTATCTCTATCATTATTCTTAAGACTACTTCATAAGATACTCTTTTCTTTGCTGCTCGAGCATACTTTCTAAATAGGCGCACTTCTCTTGCAGAGCGATGTGGTCGCGACTTAACTCTGAAATTGTCTCGTCTTTCCTTGCAACTGCAACTTTCACCCTTCAAAAATAAAACGTTTGTCGAAATTACCAAATGTATTTCAAATTTAACCTTGCGTACACTTTCTGTAACTCCCTCTCCTTGTCGGATTTCACTTCCTGCAATTCCTTTTCCAAGCCCCTCACTTCCTGTTTCATTTCATCTTTAATTATTTCCTTCACGTGTTCTCTTTCGCCGGATAATTTGGCTGTTAACTGAAAAGATTGGATTAGATGGATTTAAAAGTCCGGAGACTTACTTCTTTCAAGTCTAGTAGCTGTAGTTCCAATTGTTTGGAGCTGGTTTTCATGGTGAGTATCTGCTCGTCAGCTTCTGCTAGTTTCAGCTTGTTTTCGGAATACTTTCCGTTGATGTCCCGCTCCGACTGTTCTAGATCTCTAATTTCCTTCTCGTACTTTTCTTTCAGTCGCCTACGCACAAAGATTACACCGAGAAAGTGGTGGGAGTTCTCAAACCTGATCCTGTTCTCCAAGCTCTCCTCCAACTGCTGCTTATTTTCGGATGCTTCCAACTCCAGACGTTCGATCACAGAGTCGATCTCCTTGTCGCGCTCTTTGCGACACTTCTCGCGAATTTGCGCCTCCTTCTCGCCCAATTGGAGCGCGACCTGCTTTTTGTAATTGTTGCGGAACGTCTCCATTTCCATCTCGGTTTTCTCTTTCAGCAAATTTAACTCGATGTTGTGCTTTCTCATCACCGTCTAATAAAAAAATGGTCAGGCTGTTGGTAATTGTACCGGGCGACCCAATAAGACTGTTCCTCGGCCGTATCTCGGGAACCGTTAGTCGTATGACTTAGTTCTAAAAGTTCTAAAAATTACCACCAGAGGGCGTAACTGCCATCTTAAATTTTAAAATTGCATTTTCTTTAAATTTCGCATAATAAACTAAACATTATTTTTTCACATTTTTAAAGAGAACCAGATTATCTATCATTTTCGTAAAAACAAAAACTCAGTTAGGTATTTCAAAAACAAAGAATGGCGTGGGGCGTTCAATTGTTTTTGCAATAACCTGCTTTAACTTCTTAACCGGAGAGCATTCCTCGGGCAACAAGAATCAACAAAAATAATTATAGTTAATTTAATTGAATCCTTCTCCGCCAGGGGGCTAGTTTTGACAGTATGATCCAAAATCATAAAAAAATCAAAAAATCAAATGGAATGATATGACTTTTTCTTTATGAAAAAGTAGCCAAATGACACCCAGAGAGGCCAGTGAAAACCGTTTTTCAAAATCTCGTTCCTAACTTCAAGTATTGGGAAAATGAGATTAATTAATTAATAAAAATGCGTTATGCTTTTGTTCTCTTTAAAAATGTGAAAACATTTTTTTGAGTTTATTATGCGAAATTTAAAGAAAATGCAATTTTACAATTTAAGATGGTAGTTACGCCCTCTGGTAGTCATTTTTAGAACTTGAAAATATTTTCCAGTGATTCTTCATGACCGATTTACCCAATAATTTTTTTCACCCCTAAGTCATACGACTCACGGTTCCCGAGATATGGCCAAGGAGCAGTCTTATTGGGTCACCCGGTACAAGGCCTACCTGAAGTTTGTCTTCAAATTCGCTCTGGGCCTGCTTAACCGCGCGCTCCTTCTCTGCAATCGCGGCGTTCTCGCGATCCTCGCATTCGGAAACGCGTTTCGCGTGGTCCCCCAAAAGTCGGCGGCGCTGCTCCTGAAATCCCTGCTCTTCGGCTTCCACCATGTGCTCGTACCTTTGCCTCAGCGCCTCCCGCTCTTGAGCAAGCGCCTTTTCCCTTTCAGTAACGAGCTGATCGCGCAACGCCTCACAGTGCTGCTGCAGTTTCCTGGCCGAGCGCAGCTCCATGTCCTCGATCTCGCGTTTGTGCAGCATGCGCAAATCCATCAGCTCCTGTTGGTGGCGCGCGTTCATTTTATCAAGCTCAGGCTCGAGCCCCTTCACCGTCATCTCCTGCGATGTAAGCCAATGACAGTCGAAACAATCAAAAGGGCTTACCTTGATTTTTTGTGTTTTGGAATCAATCCACCGATCCCTGCGCATCTTCTCACCAGCCGTGTGCATCTCCTTTAGCTTTTGCAGTTCAACCCTGTGTTTATGCTCGGCCGCCTTTAAGTTGGAATTGTACCGGTCTTCGAGAACCTTCATCTCTTGAACGAGTCCCTCGCACTGCTGATTCAAGGTCTTCTTATCGGTGATGAGCTGATCGATAAACTTCTGGTGCCTCTTAACCGCATTTTCATAGTCTTCCTTCTGCAACCTCAACTTTTGGCGCACAGTTTCGCTCGCCTCCCTCGACATCTTCGCCACTTGCTCGCGCAAGCTCGACAGCTCCTTTTGAAGAAGTGCAACCGACGATGACTTTTCCTTGAGACGTAAGCTTAACTGGATGACGTAGTTGGATAATTCCAAATCGGAATGTTCGAGAAGCTCTTCTAATCTGAAACAGGTCAATGGGCGCTGGGAAACAATGCGGGATGTTGTTACCTCGGAATGGTATCCAAGTGTAGGCCGTTGTTCAGCAACTGAGAGGCAGTGGCGAACCGCTCCTTGGCGCAAGATAGGCTTTTGCTGCAGTTTTTATCTACCTCGTCCAAGAAATGGAAGATATCGCTGGAAGTACACCGTTAAAAATGCCTGAAGGTGTAGATACCTACTTTAAGTTTGTGGAAGAACTAATCGAAGACCTAGAAGGTTGCTCTTCGTCCCTTTGTGGATGACCTGGATCAGTGTCAACGTCCTGCTTGGCGTGTTTCTGGTTTTCCGAAAGCTGCTCGCTAACCATTTTTTTCATGGCCTCCATTGTGGTTTCTGAAAGTAATCAATGCGCCACGAGCTGAGAATGTGGGTAAACGTACGTGATCTCTTGTCCTCTTCCTCTAACGTTTGTAAAATCTCGACAATATCATCGTAAGTGCTGCCATCATCCGCATCGCTGACGTCGACCTCTGCCAGTCGTGTACCTTTGCACACCTCCTGCAGCTCATCGACCCTATCCAAGCAGGCTGAATATGTCGGTTTAGCTCCCTCATCGCGGGCCATCCATGATTCAACGTCGGTCGGGGGCTTCCTCGAGCAGTCGGCCGACCTTATCGGTGTTGGTACAAATTTCGCCGCGTTATTAAGACTCTCGTCACTGTCGGAGCTTGATGGCTTCTTCCGCGATCTTCGGGATGTGAGCTTTATGTTCTCCTTGATAAAGTTTTTGGGACAGGGTTTCATTTTACGCTTTTCGTACATGGAGAAGTCGACGTTTTCAAAGTTGACTCGTTTTGCACCGGTTACTTTCGGCTCGAAATTTGAGATATCGTTCAACTGCGTCGTGTGCGCAACATCCGATTCACTATCGCCTTGCGTTGCTTGGCTCTGCTTCAGATGCTGTATGGATAAGTCTGTATTGACTTCGGATGCCTGGACTTCGTCATGGGTCTTTCTTTCGTCAAACCATTTGACTTCATCCAAAGTGCTGGTGCTGCTTTGACTATGGTCAACGGGTAGGTAACCTACCATATTATCGGTAATTAACTCAAAGTTTTGCGTATCGTGAAACGATTTTCTTGAGCTAGGCGACGTTTGGGGCTTTTTTGGAATGGGCGGTTTCGTTTTTAGACCGGGACGTAGAGCCATCGCTTTGATTCGTTCTTCATATTCGTTGACTGGACTGGGAGATTTGGCAGCTCTCTTCTCCACGAGCTCGGTTTTAGTTACACTTTCGGCGGAGCTGTTCGTGTCCGAGTCGGCCGAAGGGGTGTCATTTTCGTAAGGCCGCACGGCGCGCTTGGTCAATTTTGGAGGACACCTACGCGCGTGCTTGCCCTTCCGACTCTGCTTCGTCCGTTTCCCATTTCTCCACGAGTACAACGTTTCTGACAGTAAATCGTCAAGAAGTGCGGATGAAGGTAGCATCTCTATAATCCGGATGGTAGGTTAGAATTGCAAAACGTCACTTACCCTCAGCACTGTCCACGCTTCCATCCGTATAAATGGTTTCGTACGCCGAATGTTGGAAGCGGGGAGGGTTGTCGGCGGACCAAGGCCTTCTGGTGGAGTTTTTGCAATCGTCAAATTCATTCTGCAATTTCATGTTAGTAGATTTTTGGGCGGCGTCTTACCTACGCGACCCAAATTGAGTAATGGAATTGCGGAAAACGGCCTGGAAATATCTCTCCCCAATAAAGCACAGCGAGAGCTAGCCTTTCCCTGATCTCCAAACGGTCTCATCTTAAGTTGTATCTGCCGAGTCAGAGCGTTATGTTAAGCCACAGGAAATAGCGTCACCAACCTGACAACCATCAAGCCTTAAATTATCTTCATTGCTAACTTCCATTAAGAAACATAAGGTACGCACGTAAATGTATAAAAACAAAGCTTTGCTAAAATGACATTGATGGATCGATATTTGAATATAAACATGGGGTTGCCATGGACTTTGCGGGAAGTGCGTGCGATAGGGGAGCAGTAAATTCGCCATGCAGTTTGAAATTCTAACCGATCGATGCGGAGGGTATGGACGATTACGCACTAGATGGAACAGGTGGTTCAATTCAACATTTGTGGAGTCAAAAATTGCAGCCCTTACGTATAGATGAATAATTCCTCTTCAATTGTCACTTTTCGTAATTTTCTGATGAGATGGATAAGAACTGCACTTACCTTGAAATAAGAAATTGAGGAAAAGAGAACGCCGTTAGAAAACACTCTGTTCGAATCCGTGGCCTGATTTGAAAGACTCATAGTGTATAATTTACGTTTGGTACCGCAACCTACTTCATTACTGGCATAATACAATTATGTGAATTACTATTACGCGACCACCCCAAATTGTACTTACATTCCCCATTACTTTTGCCAAAGGAGAACGACTACAATAAAAAATAATTAATTTTTACAAAAATGGAGAATGCATGTTTTGGATGTTTTGTTTAAGGAACGATACCTGTACGATTATTGCTCAACCACCCCTAAATTGGACCAGATTGTAAATATTCTTGACGTTATTAATTAATGGATGGTATATGTAGATTAACTGCCAATTAAATACGTGAATAATTGTCCCACCATCCCTAAATTTCACTTGTACCCTTTCATTACTTTTTCCTAAAGGAAACGGGACCGATAAAGGGATCAACAACTTAAGAAAGCGTGTATCACTGTAACTATCGGATGATATATCTAGATGAAGCGTTACTTAAATATTTGAATGCCTCACTACCCCTAAATCAGCCCTTCATTACTTTTACCTAAGTAGAACGACTACAACAACTAGGAATGTGTGTGTCTTCAGATATTAAGTGTCCATTGTAATGGGCTAGTTACATTTACAGGGGTTTAAAAATCCACTAGTATGTAATAAATGGAATCTCTACGAAACTGAGAGAACTCCCAATATAACAATTGATTTATAATTTACCCACGGCTAGCTCAGTAATAAAAATTTATAGCCCTTACCTTGCGGAAGTTTAGCCTCTTATTTCTTTCTAAGATCTGAAATTCAACGACTAATTTGATAAGTTTATCTCATGTTCTTCTCCTTTCGTAGATAAGAGTCGCGTTTATCGCTAAAAGTTAATTAATTTTGAAAGTAGATGTGGTGGTAGGTGTTGTACTTTAGACATGAATCGCGGGTACGTTAATAAATATTTTTTTACGTAGTGGAAGATGGTACAAGGGAGGAAAATGTTTTAAAAAGAAGAAGAATTTCGTAAATCGAGGTTGACTTCTAATTTTTAATGAAAAATTGAGCCTTATGCAATTTTGTTTCTGTTCGCTATAAAGCGGTACATGTGTAAATCATCGTAAGCTTACCAAAATATAAATTCAAAAAATTACTTAAAAAAAAATCGTGTAACGTTCTATTTAAATTTGATGTTGTTACATCGACTAGGTATTTAATTTGTAAACCCGTAAAGTTAAGATGTCAGTTATTTCTGTAGTACATTTGCTATTACCTTAGTTCTTTAGTTTGTCGCTAGAGACCATCCGTGATACTGATAACTATCCCTTCTTCTGTAATTTGGTCTTGCATAATGTATTTCTTTTCCCGCAAAGACGATCTGGCCTTCACAGTGTTTACGTGCAATTTTTTTTCGATCCGCCATTTCTTTTTACTTGACTTATGTCATTTAAACGACCTTCGTAGCTCAGAGCCGATCTTCGTAGCTCAGTTGAGTTTACCTTGGTACTTTGGCTACAAGGGTTCTGGGTCCGAATCCCAGGCAAGGCATGGCTGTATGTGATTGTATAGTGGGTTGAGTGGGTAGCTAATTAGCTAATTCTCCGCCCACTATAAAAATAAAGACAATAAAGAAATTTAAACATTTACATTTCAGATCTAGATATGGGGCATTAAGGAAATTGACTAAATTCGAGAAATGCCCCCTAGCGGCCAAACCATTAAAGATAGATTACTCTGTTTACGCCAACGATCTTCTCTTTAAAATTGAGCTCTAGACACCTAGGCCCATTTTTTTCTATTTCTTAAAATAAAGTGCGTTTCCATAAGAAAGTGTCCAATTTGGACCACCCTGTATATAAAAAAATGGCGTTGCGCTACTCACACTCAGTCTTCGGCAACTATTAATTTAACACGAAAAAGTACAGGTGACCAAACACATGTGAAAGTCTATTATCGCGCAAGCAAAACCGAAACGAAGAAATGTTAATTAGATGACCCCTTTCTCGTATTGCTTACTCACCGGCCGGCAGCGGCCACGAGACAAGGGAGTAACATATTGCTGTGTAAATTACGTTATGTGAACGTTTTTATTTGTTTTTAGCACCAATAGTATGAAGGGTCATCCCGTATGTTACCAATTTTAATGTTTATTTAGACATTAAATACGGTAGTGATTTGAATTCAGCGCAAATTTCGTCATATTGTATAAAACTGAATTTAATGTGGATGTTGTCTTGCACTGAAATTTATTAGATATTATATTTAAATAATTGGTTTGATAATTGTTAATTTTGTTGTTTAATTTAAAAGTAAAGATTAAGGACTTCTGGAAAGATTGCGTAAGTGGTTTGTAAAAGTTCATATCTGGTCGTTTGCGGTAAACAGTTTTGTTAGGCTGCACATGTGGTTCTGATAAGAAGATGCGGGTATTTTATGAAGATGTCTGAATTTCTCGGCGTAAGTGGGGACGCCTCCTGACGAAGCTGGTGCTATTCAAGTAATTCAATTGTAATTGGTGGTTTATGTGAAAATTTATAAAGGAGATTGTTTTTTTGGTGGAAGTGGTGGTTCCTTTAAATACAGGAGACAATGTTTAAACGAGGTTTTTTTTATTTGGTGACGGTTGGAGCGCGTGATTTTTGTTACGCGGTTATTTTGGGCAGTCAGCCTTATTGGTTTAGTCGGAGATGCAATTAATCGTTAAGTAATCGTATTGTGGGATTTAAGTTATAACGTTGTAAAGTGAGTTAGTTAACGTCAACGTTTGTTAAACGTGTTTAAAGCGTTTTGTCCGTTAACGGAAAAAGTAGTCGTTCATAGTGAAGAAGCCTTTCGACAAAGTTTGTTATTCATCAAAAGGAAAAGTGTTCTATGGTCCGAAATTCTACCAAATTTTGTTTTAAAAAAAATTCAAGATCCAGTTTATTAAAAAAGAAGAGAAGTTCTTGCGAGTGTTTGTCATTTCTAAGTGCGCTTAAATATCGCAAAATTTTTACGACCAGATTTATTTATTTTTGTTATTGTTTTCAATTAATTAACTGAGTATTGAATCGAACCCAAAGTCCGACCCAGATAGTTTTCATTTCAGATTTTTTTTATTCGTACCCAAGAACTATAATTGTCGGGAGTTGATTGATGCCACTGTGTCTTTCAAAATAACAAAATTTAAAGTCAACGTTAGGATATTTCTTCGGAAGTGTACTTCAAAAAATTACAAAACTCTAAATTTAAAGGTTGTTTTGTATGAGCTAGCTGGTGTTTTGTGGGTGGCTTAGTGACCGACGGAAGAAACAACCGGCCCGTGTGGCGCAGTTCAGTTAAAGCTGAACTGTGGTGCTAAGGGTCCCTGGTTCGAATCCTGGTTCGGGCATGGATATTTATAAATGTATAGTGGGTTGGGTTGGTAGAGCAGCTTTGGCTGAAACCCCGCTCATTCAAAATTAAAGGCAAAATAAAATAAATAAAATATAAATTAAAAAAAACAATTAGTCGAATCGTACAGAGCAATATCCCACTGATAATACACTATCATATGAATGCATACATCCATACTAAATAAAATAATATAAGGACATAACCACCTGTGCGATATAACAAACAATCATGATTTAGTAACGGTACTCATAACAAAAGTGCGTAATTACAGTGATAGTATTAGCCCTTTGATGGCGACTCCCTTGAACTTCTTTGTCAACGTAAAACACATGCTGCCGATCGAATCGACTTAACGTTTACTTTTATCACGACGTAAAGAAAATTCTTTCAACACTTTTGATTTCTTCTACACAATTTTACAATTGAACAAGACTGACAGTCTTTTCAAATACGATCAAATACCGACAACACACCAAAACAAACGGCCACGTTTCAACGTTCACCACCGAAAAACCCACGATTAACGTCCGGTTTTCTTATTTAAAACCCCTCATGCTCATGATCTTAAATCACGTGATGGTTGAGGACCTTAAGAATCTGAAAACTGTAAAGCTGCTGAGGGGCACTAGAAAAAACCTAACAATTTTGACTATCCAGCCATCTGAAGTTCTCAGAGCCTTAAAACCCTACACCCAGTATGCTAGGAACATGTCAAGGGGTTTATATTTCTAACCTCAGAAGATATATTGATGCCTTGAAGGCGTTGAGGCTTGTAGAGACCCTTAAGACCATAAACAGGCTGAAGATTACGCTCACTTTGTACACTTTAGAGATAATCTCACAGATGAAGATTCTTAAGTGTCTGAAAATTGACGAATGGTATGGAAGCGCATGGGTGGCCTGAAGAGATCTTGAAAATCCTTAAGAATCTGGAGTAACTTGAGACCACGAATATTCTAGAAAGACACCGACCATTTTTGAATTTTTTTCGAAAATGGACACTAAACCAACTCTACACGACTCCAAAGACACTCTGAAGTCTTAAAAGGCCTGCTTTTAGCCGCATGTTGCGCGCCACAAAACGACTGCTCCAGCAGATCCTCAATTCCGTTTAACGTTAACACAATCACCAACCAAAAAGTGTTCGAGAAACTTCAAAATGAAAAATGTACACTTTTGAAATAATACTGTCCTAGGAGCGTACAGTTTTAAATCTCCCTGTAGTTGAGGGTGGAGTTACAGTATTTATTTCACACTTTTATTTATCGCAAAACTTGACGACCATCTAGATAGGAAAAAGATAGCACTCATCGTTTACTTAATTTCCGAAGTGCGTGTTCTAGCACCAA